TCTCCCAGGACCCTGCGTTCACTATATCTGGTCTCCCAGGACCCTGCGTTCACTATATCTGGTCTCCCAGGACCCTGCGTTCACTATATCTGGTCTCCCAGGACCCGGCATTCACTATATCTGGTCTCCCAGGACCCGCATTCACTATATCTGGTGTCCCTGGACCCGGCATTCACTATATCTGGTCTCCCAGGACCCGGCATTCACTATATCTGGTCTCCCAGGACCCGCATTCACTATATCTGGTCTTCCAGGACCCCGCATTCACTATATCTGGTCTTCCAGGACCCCGCATTCACTATATCTGATCTCCCAGGACCCTGCATTCACTATATCTGGTCTCCCCGGACCCGGCTACTGTAAATGGATTTCTGATTGGTTGCATGGGTTACTGCACTATGTGTTTTACAACTTCAGTTGTTAAAGTGTTACTAAACCCAGGACCCTGCATTCACTATATCTGATCTCCCAGGACCCCGCATTCACTATATCTGGTCTCCCCGGACTCTGCATTCACTATATCTGGTCTCTCAGGACCCCGCATTCACTATATCTGGTCTCTCAGGACCCCGCATTCACTATATCTGGTCTCCCAGGACCCCCGCATTCACTATATCTGGTCTCCCAGGACCCCGCATTCACTATATCTGGTCTCCCAGGACCCCGCATTCACTATATCTGATCTCCCCGGACCCCGCATTCACTATATCTGGTCTCCCCGGACTCTGCATTCACTATATCTGGTCTCTCAGGACCCCGCATTCACTATATCTGGTCTCTCAGGACCCCGCATTCACTATATCTGGTCTCCCAGGACCCCGCATTCACTATATCTGATCTCCCCGGACCCCGCATTCACTATATCTGATCTCCCCGGACCCCGCATTCACTATATCTGGTCTCCCCGGACCCCGCATTCACTATATATGGTCTTCCAGGAACCCGCATTCACTATATCTGGTCTCCCAGGACCCGGCATTCACTATATCTGGTCTCCCAGGACCCGGCATTCACTATATCTGGTCTCCCAGGACCCGGCATTCACTATATCTGGTCTCCCAGGACCCGGCATTCACTATATCTGGTCTCCCAGGACCCGGCATTCACTATATCTGGTCTCTCCGGACCCGGCATTCACTATATCTGGTCTCTCCGGACCCGGCATTCACTATATCTGGTCTCTCCGGACCCGGCATTCACTATATCTGGTCTCTCCGGACCCGGCATTCACTATATCTGGTCTCCCAGGACCCGGCATTCACTATATCTGGTCTCCCAGGACCCCGCATTCTCTATATCTGGTCTAAAAAATTAATTTAGTAAATATAAACCTCTAAATACCTTTTCTCATCAGCAGTTAGAGCAGTCTTGTGACTTCAGCTAAAGCTTGTAGGAGGAGTTTTCTTTCTGCTGTAGAAGGATGCAAAACCCCTGACTCTGTCTGGTCAGTGCTGATTGGCCCTGTGTTGATCACATGCACTCTCCCAAGAAAAAAAGAAAACCTCTCTAGCAATACACACTAAACTGAGCATGTGCATGTGGCTACGGGCTCAGTCTGTCTTATCAGTTACAGCAGTCTTGTCTATCAGTGTCCAGCAGAGCACCTGTTAAACCTTGTAGGAGGTGTTTTAGGCAGTCCCCGGGTTACGTACAAGATAGGGACTGTAGGTTTGTTCATAAGTCGAATTTGTTCATAAGTTGAATCAGGCACTTTTATAAGCACTAACTACTAACCAAACGACAGGATATTAGATTACGTTTTTGTAATAAGGTTACAGAAAGCAGTAAAACCTCAAGAGGCTCTAAACTGGTGTTTTGCATAAGAACTGCAGCTTGGACACATGTTTGCCTTAACATATTTAACTTTTATGTGCATGTAAATGTTTAAACATCAAATTCAACATTCAAATATTATACTGTAAACTCTTGTACAGTGTAGAGTACAACTTTAAACTATCTTGGCAGAGGATGGCATGTTGGAGAGGATTGGGCAGCAACAGTGTCTCCGACATCCAAATGTAATGCAGAGCTTGATTTTGCTGCTGGGGTCAATTTTGTAAAGTAGGCATCAAGGGAGGTTTGTACAGAGCTTTTCTTTTTCTCTTCATAAATAGTCTTATAGCATTTCAGACCTTCAGTAACTGCACGATAAACTTTTGCAAACCTCTCTGTATCAGGATCTTGCTCCTCTAAATTTGCCATTCCTGCTTCAATGAGATCAAAAGCATTAGCTAACGCTTTTGTAGAAAACTTTTTGGTTTGTGGAGTTTCTAGCCCCTGAGTTTCTTCTCTAAATTCTATCTGCTCATCTAGTTCCATAAGGTCTTCATTGGTTAGTTCTTTGCCATGGGAGTCGAGTAACACTATGACATCATTTTCAGTGATGTCTAAATGCAGTTGATTGCCAATCGCAACCACAGTTTGCCTGGTTTCTGCAATTTCATCATCTGTAAACCCCAGAAATTCTTGCGTTAATTGAGGGCACAATTTTTTCCAAACTCCTCTCATATTTGTGTCTTTCACTTCATCCCAAGCTTCAGCAATATTTTTGATGGCATCATAAATGTTATAATTTTTCCAGAACTCTCTTAAGGTCATCTCATTATTTTGTGTAGCTCTGATAGCTTGTGAGAATGTTCTCCTTAAATAATAGGCTTTAAAGGAGGCTATGACTCCCTGATCCATTGGCTGAATAAGTGATGTGGTGTTTAGGGGGTAAAAATACCACCTTTACATTGGGGTGCTTGTCATCTAAAGTGCTTGGATGTCCAGGGGCATTGTCAAGGAGAAGAAGAATTTTGAAAGGAATGTTTTTGGCCAAGCAATAACGTTCAACAGCAGGGACAAAATGGTTCAAAAACCATTCTTCAAAGAGTGCTAACGTAATCCAAGCCTTTGAATTTGCCCTCCAAATAACAGGAAGAAATGACTTTGTGACATTGCGCAGTGCCCTCGGATTTATGGAGCGATACACAAGCAAAGGTTTGAGCTTTAAATCACCCGATGCATTACCCCCAAGTAATAAAGTTAGCCTGTCCTTTGATGCTTTATGTCCAGGTGCACTTTTTTCTTCTTTTGAAATGTATGTTCTCTCAGGCATTTTTTTCCAAAACAGGCCAGTTTCATCTACATTAAAGATTTGTTCTGGCAAATACCCTCCCACATCAATAATATTTTTCAATATCATGGAAAAATCACTTGCAGCACTCGAATCAGCACTAGCTGCTTCACCTTGAACTTTAATATTATGCAAATTTGCTCTTTTTTTAAAGCGATCAAACCAACCCCTACTAGCAACAAATTCTTCATTGCAATCACTTTCACTTGATGTATGAGCAGCTTTTAAATCATTGAAAATGCTCCGAGCTTTTTCTTGTACTAAAGCAAGACTGATAGGTATATTATGCTGATTTTGGTCTTCTATCCAAATGGTCAGCATCCTTTCCATCTTGATGATTAAACCACTGCGTTGCTTGGTAATAATTGTAGCATTGGTTGGGATGTAGCATTTTACATGCTCCATTATTCTACTCTTATCTTTTAAAATTGTTGAAATTGTTGACGGAGCATAACCATATGCTTTGCAAATGGATGATGATTTTTCACCACTCTCTGATCTCTTTATTATTTCTACTTTATCTTCCAAGGAGATTGTTTTTCTTTTCTTTGCTGTGCCAGCACTTGCATCAGCTTTTTGCTTTGGAGGCATTATTGCAGGGTAAAAATACACTGTACTGTAATGTACTGTATGAGAGAACTCTGCTCTCCTTTACACAGCACACGCTGCCCCCTCCCCCCTGCACAGACGGAGGATCACTTCAGTGAGCAGCCTGACAGCCTCTCCTTTCCTCTCCCCGGAGGTGCAGACAGACAGTCTTAAATCACTTCGGAGATAGTGGGCAGACACTGCTAGCCCCACAAGTAACGAGCAATGGATGTCTCTGTCTCTTATGTCTCTCTGATGTCTCTTATCAGCTAGTCTCTTATCAGCTTGCTGCACAAGAATGCTGACAGCTTGACTTCCGGTCCCGAGGGAAGTGTACGTAAGTATGAGTATTACGTAAGCCGAATGTACTTAACTCGGGGACTGCCTGTATATAGGAGGATGCAAAACCCCTGACCTCTTGTCTGGACAGTGCTGATTGGCCCTGTGCTGATCACATGCCCAAGAAAAAAAAAAACCTCTCTAGAAATAAACCAAACTGAGCATGTGCAGAGTGACTCCACACAATATGTTTTATCAGGCGATAAGAGGGGGACACTGGAAGAAGGGAAGGATCAGAGAAGTCGGGATCAAACAGCCTTTTTACACAATGCAGAGGATTAACCCTTTAGATTCCACAGCGAGAATAACAAGCATGCTTTACTGCATATACTGCATGCCCAATGGATAAAATTCAAAACATTAACAATAATATATAAAGCCATTTATAACTCTCCACCAAATTACATCACCAATCTTGTTTCCAAATATCACCCAAACCGTCCTCTCCGCTCCTCCCACGACCTCCTGCTCTCTAGCTCCCTAGTCTCCTCCTCCCATGCTCGTCTCCAGGACTTCTCCAGAGCTTCCCCCATCCTCTTGAACTCTCTAGCCCAATTTTATCAGACATCGCTTACTCTGCTCACTTTTAGGTTTTCAGAGATCGCCTACCTCTTTAGGGAAGCCTATCCTGCTCTCAGCTAATAATGGAATCTTCTACTCCTCCTACCAGTCCATCCCCCACAGTTACTACCTTTTGTACCACGAGCCCCTCCCTCTTAGATGGTAAGCTCCAAGGAGCAGGGCCCTCCTATCGCTCTTGTATTGTTGCTGTATTGTCTCTCGTTATATTGTAAAGCGCTGAGCAAACTGCTGGCGCTATATAAATCCTGTATAATATTAATAATATACAGACTGCTTTTACATTTGTGGGTTTAGTAACACTTTAATTAGCAGAAACATGCAGCCCGATTTATTAGTTTGCTTTTTTCTACCTAACTTTACATTTGTTTTCCAGGCACAGCCATGGATGCACTAAATAGTATGCAGAACTTCCTCCGCAGCCGCCCCAAGACCTTCAAATCACTGGAGAATGCAATAGAATGGAGGTCAGTAGTTTCAGTTTTATGAAAGTTACAAAAAATGCAAATTCTTACTTGAAATGAAGTGACTTTAACCACTTGCCGCCCAGCCACTGTACATATACGGCGGCAGGGCGGCACTCGCAGGCAAAACCACGTTTTAAAACGTGTTTTGTAAACAAATAGGGGGCGCGCGCGAGGCGCGCCGCCGCCCTATTTGTCCCGCGGATCACCGCCGCAGATGTCAGTCGCCGGGTCACAGCCGGTCCTTAGCCGCTATGTCCCGGCGATCGGCGGCAAACAGTGACAGAGAGCACAGCTGCAGTAGCTGTGCTGTCTGTCACTTCCCTGTCAGCTCGAGATTGAGCTGATCGAGAAAGAAGAGTTTCTCTTTCTCGATCAGCCTTGTGCCGCCCAGGACACACCCCTCCCCCTAGTAAAACACTCCCCTCACTCCTATAACCCTTCCCTGCAAAATAAAGTTAACCCCTTCCTCCCCAGTGCCATTAGTACAGTGTCAGGTTTTTTTTTGTTTTTCTTTGCACTGATCACTGTATTAGTGTTTTTGGGGATGTCAGTGACCCCAAGTCAGTACCCCCCAATGTCAGAATGTCCGCCGCAGTCCCGCCATAAGTCGCTGGTTGCAGCCATAAGTCCCTGATCGCCGCCATAATTCGTTGATCGCCGCCATTATTAGTATAAAAAAAACCCTAAAAATCCCAGTATCTTTCCCACCATTTGTAAACGCTATAACTTTCACGTGAACCAATTAATTTACACGTATTGGTTTTTTTTTTAGTAAAGACATGTCGCAGAATGCATTTTTGCAGAAATTTATGACTAAATTTGATTTTTGCATTTTTTTTTTACTGGACATGTTTTATAGCAAAAAGTCCAAAATATTTATTTTTTTTTCCTCAAAATTGTCAGACTTTTTTTTTTTTTAGCGCAAAAAATAAAAAACCGCACAGGCGATCAAATACCACCGAAAGCTCAATTTGTGGGGAAAAAAAGGATGTAATTTTCATTTATGTACCGTATTGCATGACCGCGCAATTGTCCGTTAAACTAGCGCAGCGCTGTATAGCACAAAAATGGCGTAAATTGCAGTATCTATACCATAGTTTGTAGACGCTATAACGTTCACAAAAAGCAATCAATATACACTTATTGGGATTTTTTTTACCAAAAACATGGAGCAGAATACATTTTGGCCTAAATTTATAACCAACTTTGAGTTTACTATATATTTTTTTATAGCTGAAAATAAAAAATATTGTTTTTCTTCAAAATTTTTGGCCTTTTTTTGTTTATAGCGTGAAAAATAAAAAGCGCACAGGTGATCAAATACCACCGAAAGAAAGCTCTATTTGTTTGAAAAAAAAGGACGTAAATTTAGTTTGGGTGCAGCATTGCATGACCGCGCAATTATCAGTTGAATTAGTGCAGCGCCGAGTAGCAAAAAGAGGCCATTAAGGGGGGTAAATCCTCTGGAGCTCAAGTGGTTAAAACTACACAAATGTTTTACATACGGCATGTATCCCTATATAGATGGCATAAAAATAAATCTTGAGAATAATCCTCCTTTACTGTCCATAGTGTGAAGAGCGGTCAGATCAGGAATCTGGACTCGGCCCGCGTCTCCATGGCTGGACAAGTCAAGCAGTAAGTATTGAGTCAAAGCCTCTGTCTGGAGCCCTGGAGTTTCCTGAAATGTACTCATTGGAGAACCTCTCTACTCCATAGATGTGAAGAAGACTCAAGTCCTGAGGGGCCCAAAGCTATAGTGGAAGGTATTATCGAGGAAGAGGAGGAGGATGAGGAAGAAAATGGAGGCCAGTCCATCAATAAAAGGAAGAAGGAGGATGATACTGAGGTAGCTAGGAGTATGGGATGTCTCTCCCTCACCGTTTTGACCATAGTGTGCTTGTGCATGCCTGAGTGATACTATTGATCAGAAGCTGATGGGACTGGTTTACACATCACCTGTACTAAACCCAAGAAGCAGTAATTGGGCTCTTATACAGGCCATACATGGTTCGAATTCCAAACTATTTTTTATCCAAAAATCAAAACGTTGTTTGTTCTGTAATCCGATGGTGCCACCAATGATTTTGAAAATCCGTCGTTTTTCACAAATTTTCCAGCTTGCACGATAATCGAAATGGGGAGGAACCACAAAAATTGGCCAATGCCATTGCCCCACTAACAGAGCGAAAATAGGCCTTTTATTCTTAGGTCTGATTTTGCACGAAAATCGTTTGGAGTTCGAACCATGTATGGCCTGAATTAGTCCAGGGCTATGAGGTAGTCAAGTATGCAGCTGTCTCAGCACAAGGCAAGTAAAAGATTCAGATTGGGAGTGGGGATTCGGGTATGATTTGTGGTCTGCCAAGTCTCTGTTCTCAGCCAGGTAACAGCGGACCTGATGTAACAAGCTGCAGGATAGGTATAGCATTGAGTTCTATAGGGAGGGCAGTGAGAGCTCATCATAAATTCCTTTCCATCTATGCGTCAGTCGCACATTCTGCCCATCTGCTTGTGCACCAGTTGTCGGGGCACCCATACTTAGCAATAGTCCTTTTCTATCCTAACGTTTCTGTTTTGAGGACATTCTACTCCACTGTACATAAGTATCTCTGTTATATACTTCATACTGCTCCCTTCTGTATGTCCATTACTCCGCATATCTGTATTGTGGACACTGTATATGGATATCACTAATAAATAATTAGTGTTGCGCTGCTCTGTGACAAAAATTGACCAGAGACTGCGGACACAGTACAGGAGATGACCAGAGACTGCGGACACAGTACAGGGGATGACCAGAGACTGCGGACACAGTACGGGAGACGACCAGAGGCTGCGGACACAGTACGGGAGACGACCAGAGGCTGCGGACACAGTACGGGAGACGACCAGAGGCTGCGGACACAGTACGGGAGACGACCAGAGTGTGTGCGGACACAGTACGGGAGACGACCAGAGGCTGCGGACACAGTACGGGAGACGACCAGAGGCTGCGGACACAGTACGGGAGACGACCAGAGGCTGCGGACACAGTACGGGAGACGACCAGAGGCTGCGGACACAGTACGGGAGACGACCAGAGGCTGCGGACACAGTACGGGAGACGACCAGAGACCGCTGCGGACACAGTACGGGAGACGACCAGAGGCTGCCGACACAGTACGGGAGACGACCAGAGGCTGCCGACCTTTGGAGAGCAAGTGGGGGGGGAGGACCCCGACCCCAATTTGATAGGTTCCCACTTTCACAGAGTTGTCCTCCCTGTAATCTTGTAGGACACGTGACAGGTCTCAGAAGACTACAGGTGGCCATTCACAAAGCGCAGCGCTTCTCGCACATGCGCAGTGGGCACTTGGCTGTGAAGCCGCAAGCTTTCACAGCCGGGTGCCCACACTGAAGGTGCCGGGGAGAGAAGACGGCCGGTGAAAGCAGTACACTGCTGAACCGAGGAACAGGTAGGATCGAGGAGCAGGTTATTCTGCACAGTAGAGCCAAACGGGCGGCTGGCCTGGTATTCTAACACGTCGGCGGTGGGAATACCGGGCCGGCCGCTCCATATTCACTCCATAAGACGTACAGACATTTTTCCCATTTTTTTTGGGGGGGAGTTGGGAGTGCATCTTATGGAGCGAAAAATACGGTAGTTAAAACAAATAATTCTTATAGTAAGGCCCATGTGAATGAATAAATGATAAACAGTCTTGTGTACCTCAAAAAGTTCAACTTGCTGGTGTCAGTGGTCTACACATGTTCATGTGCTCCAACAAAACGTAAAAAGCAGTCAAATCATTCAGGTTAGCGGCACTTTTTCTGGTGGTGGAGCATTTTTCAATTTTGTTGGAGCACATGAATATGTGTGGAGTACTGACACCAGCAAGTTGAACTTTTTGAAATATACAAAACTGTTTATCATTATTTACTATATGAATTATGTGTTTTAACTATATTGTGATTGATTTGTGTCACAGAGCGCAACACTAATTATTTATTATCGGTTTAATTTGGTGTGGGAACACTGTGTTTTGCAGCAACTCTTTTGGTCTTTATTTTTTGTTTTTATTTTATATTAATATATCTTAGTTGTTTTGGTAGCGCACATTTGTTTTGTGTTTTTCATCTTTAACTGTGTATGGATATGTTCTACAACTCAAATTTATAAACTATGCCATACCTTCTATACTGCAAGCCCCTCCATCCTGTACACCTTCCTGTATGTTTTATACTGTACACCATTCCCTGTATACACTGTGCTGTTCAATCTCTACTGCTTGCTGCTCTATTCTTTACTGTGCACTGATCCACTCTGTACACTGTGCTGTACAATATGTACTGCTTGCTGCTCCACTCTGTACACTGTGTACAATATGTACTGCTGTACAACACTATGTACTGCTGCTTGCTGCTCCACTCTGTACACTGTGCTGTACAATATGTGTTTACAATGCTTACTACTGCTCCACCACTCTGTACAATCTGTGCTGCTTGCTCAATACCCTGTGCTGTACTTGTTTGCACTGCTCCACTCTATACACTGTGTTGTCTGTACAATCTCTACTGTACATTCTTTACTGCTCTGCTCACTCTATACCCTGTGCTGTAATGTTCTTCACTTACCGTGCACTGCTCCACTCTGTACCCTGTGCTGTACAATATGTACCGCTGGCTGCTCCACTCTATACACTGTGCTTTACAATTCTGTACTGCTCGCTGCGCCACTCACTCTATACACTGTGCTGTACATTCTTCACTGCTGTACACACTGCTCCATCTGTACACTGTACCCTGTGCTGTAAATTCTTTTGTTCTGCACACTACTTCACTCTATACCACACTGTACTGTACATTTTTCTATACTGCACACTGCGTCACTCTATACACTGTGCTCTGAACTGTGCTGTTTGTTCTGCACACTGTACTGTAAACTGTGTTTGTTCTGTACGGCACACTACATTCTATACAGTGTGTTCTGTACGGAACATTCGAGTACACTGTGCTGTTCTGTACACAGCGTACACTGTGCTGTTCTGTACAGCACACTGCCTCGGTCTGTCCTGTGTGTTCTGTACACTGTGTACGCTGTTTTTGTTCTGTACGGCACACTGCCTCACTCTGTACGCTGTGCTGTTTGTTCTGTACGGCACACTGCCTCACTCTGTACGCTGTGTGTTGTTTGTTCTGTACGGCACACTGCCTCACTCTGTACGCTGTGTTGTTTGTTCTGTACGGCACACTACCTCAGTACGTTCAGGTTACCTCAGGTTCAGGTTCTATATTGCTTAATTGTTCTGTTTAAATCTTTCACCATTTAGACCAAGAAGGAACGTCCTTATACCTGGAGGATCGAGCTGTCCAAAACGGAGAAATACTGGGAAGGCTGGTTCCGGGGGCTCTCCAACCTCTTTCTCAGCTGTCCAATCCCTAAACAACTTCTCCTGGCAGGTAAGCCACCCCCACACTGTGCATGGTATGGTCCACCCTTCATTATCTGCTGTCAGTTCTGTAAGCAGTAGCTTCAGATGCATCCCATTGCTTTGTGTTCATTTATCTTGTTTGCCCCCTTTTTTAGGAGTTGACAGACTGGATAAAGACCTCACAATAGGGCAAATGCAGGGTAAGAATGATACTCAGTGCTCTAATCTACATTCTAAAATCTGCATCCTTGTAATTTTGAACCTTGATAAACACACAGCACCTTGTTTGATGCCTGCTGGGGCCCCGTTGTCCAGTAAACAGCTGCCAGCCATTTAGAAGCGACACCATGCAACTCACAGTGTCACTCAGTTGCATTGCCAGCAGTTTCCAGTTCTGATTGTGGACAGATGTCAACAATGTGGCTACGCATTTATCAAGGCACATGTGTTATATGGCTGTTTTTAATGTTCATAAATTAATTCTAAGGTGAAATTCTATTTTTTCAAGATATTACCCAGCGATCCTGCCACTTCCCTCATTATAAGCTGATTTTCCACGTTGACTGGCAATGCTATTCAGCAGCTAATGAAACAGACAATCCTCTAGGTGTTGTCAGCAACTGGAAGCTGCCATGCTCCAATAGGAAGCCATTCTGTCTGTGAAGGCTTCCTCCAGTGCGAATGTGCTCTTGTGGCTGCCATTGACAATGCTCAGTCCAGATAAGGAACATATAGCTCCTCCCTCCCTCCCTGATAAAAGGACAAGCAGTGAGGGATAGCAGTCACTTGACTGCAAAGAAACAAGGAAAAAACATTTCAATGGTACTTTTTAATTGATTGGTTTTCAATCTCTGCTGTGCAGCCATAGAAGTACCATTTGGGACTTGGTTTCCTTTTTATCTACGGTAACATAAATCAGTAGTGTACAAAAATTGCCCCTTTCTCTTTCTTTCTTGAGCTCATCTCTCTGTCACTCTGCTCTTTCCTCCTATCAGTATAACTTTTTGCATTGCAACACAACTCATTGTTTTTTTTTTCTTTTTTTTTTCTGCTTCTTCCTCTCCCAGTCTGAGTGGTGCTGTGCAGTGGATTGCAAGAGACTGATACCAAGTCACATTCAGGGGCTGACACTGCTTTCATTTTGAAAATACATTTAAATTGTCAGTAAACCAAAAATAATTTGTGTCATTGCCTCTTAAATGAATTGGGCTCGAAAGTTTCTTTTATTGCTATATTGTTAGATCGTAAATATCTGACGCTGTAATTTCGCTGTACTTCCATCTTCAGCATGGCAATGCTGAAGGTGGAGGGATCAGCCGAAATTGTGTTGCCACAAAGTACAGGGTCAACCAGATATTTACTATCTACAAATACAGTAATAAAAGAAACTTTGAGCTTTTCAGCTGATCCTTTCACACTCAGCGTTGCCAGTCTCATCATGCATGCTGCATTTTTCCCTAGTTGGAAGTTACGGACGTCCTAGTTTCTCCTCCTGAAGCCGACTGACACTCTGCACATGCTTGCCTGAGTGTTATATGAAAGAACACATCCGCAGCATCATTTTAGATGTGCATGTTCCCTGCTGACAGGTGGGCTGCGCAATCTGCTGATCAGTTGCTTGATTACACTGTCAGTCCTGCTTCTGGAACACATTGCAGAGCTAAAGCCTTCAGCGCCCAGTGGCCACCAGGGAGGAACATGCACAATTAAAGGGATGCTGGGGATGTGTTTTTCATTTAACACTTGTGCTCATAGCTTCATCACACACTAAAAATAATCCTTTACACGAAGAGTAACGTGTGGAGATATGGGCTGTATCATGTGACTGAAAGACATGAATCTAGAAAAACATATTTGAGCTTAGAGAAAGTATGCAATTTATGGGTAGGTATTGTTTGGGTGAGTGAGTTCTAATGGATGATGTGATGTATTAATGAAAGAACCACTTTAGTTTGCTGAGTGGTTACATGAAGAGCTTCTCTCCTTCCACAGCCCTTAAACATAAATCAAAAACCCACTTTTGTCATCAAGACTGTAATTGAAGGGTATCAAGACTGTAATTGAAGGGTAATCTCCCCCAGCGGGGATGCAGGCTGTAGTTGAAAGCAGACCTTAGGTTGCAACTTTACCCCCACTCTCCAAAACTAAAAATTAAGACGCTTACAGAATCTTTTTTTCTTGCCCTCAACAGGAAAGTTCCAGATGCAGGTCCTCCCACAGTGTGGTCATGCTGTACATGAAGATGCCCCGGATAAAGTAAGAAAACAAATACGAACGGCTAATTATTTTTGACCAGCCTTATTTTACAGTGTTTTGTGACATAAAGAATAATTCCAGGTATGGTGTATACAGTACCTGGCCGATGCACCATACTTGACCAATGCACCTGGAAGCTGGAAATCACTTTCTGTATTTTTCGCTCCATAAGACGCACCTGACCATAAGACGCACCTAGGTTTTAGAGGAGAAAAACAAGAAAAAAAATATTCTGAACCAATGGACTGCAGACATAGTACAGGGGATGACCAGAGACTGCGGACACAGTTTACATACATTTGAGTAGATGACCAGAGATTGCGGACATAGGATTCACAGGATGACCAGAGATTGCGGACATACAGGACAGGAGATGACCAGAGACTGCGGACACAGGACAGGAGATGACCAGAGACTGCGGACATAGTACAGGAGATGACCAGAGACTACAGACACAGGACAGGAGATGACCAGAGACTGCAGACACAGTACAGGGGATGACCAGAGACTGCAGACACACAGTACAGGGGATGACCAGAGACTGCAGACACAGTACAGGGGATGACCAGAGACTGCAGACACACAGTACAGGGGATGACCAGAGACTGCAGACACAGTACAGGGGATGACCAGAGACTGCAGACACAGTACAGGGGATGACCAGAGACTGCAGACACGGTACAGGGGATGACCAGAGACTGCAGACACGGTACAGGGGATGACCAGAGACTGCAGACACGGTACACGGACTACAGGGTACAGGATGACCAGAGACTGCGCACACGGTACAGGAGATGACCAGAGACTGCGCACACGGTACAGGAGATGACCAGAGACTGCGCACACGGTACAGAGATGACCAGAGACTGCGCACACGGTACAGGAGATGACCAGAGACTGCGCACACGGTACAGGAGATGACCAGAGACTGCGCACACGGTACAGGAGATGACCAGAGACTGCGCACACGGTACAGGAGATGACCAGAGACTGCGCACACGGTACAGGAGATGACCAGAGACTGCGCACACGGTACAGGAGATGACCAGAGACTGCGGACACGGTACAGGAGATGACCAGAGACTGCGGACACGGTACAGGGATGACCAGAGACTGCGGACACGGTACAGAAGACTAGAGACTGCAGACAGTAAAGGAGATTACCAGAGACTGCGGACCTTTGGGGAGGGAGGGGGAACGGGTACCTGAATTTGACAGGTACCCGCTCCCACTTCCACGGAGTTGTCCTTCCTTCTTCCCACGGCAGCTTCTATGACAGCCGGGTGCCCACTGCGCATGCGCGAGAAGCGCTGCGCTTTGTGAATGGCCCGGAGCCTTTTGGGACCTGTTATGTGTCCCAGAAGACACCGGACCATTCTAAAAGTGCAGCGTTTCTCACGCATGCGCAGTGGGCACCCGGCTGTCACAGAAGCCGCCGCGGGAAGACTGCAGCGCTGGAGCGAGGAACAGGTAAGGCCCTGCAGGAGAGAAGAGCTAAGCGGCCGGCCCGATATTCTGACATGGTGGCGGCAGAAATACCGGACCGGCCGCTTTACATTCGCTCCATAAGATTCACTGACGTTTTCCCCCCTTTTTTGGGGGGAAAAAAGTGCGTCTTATGGAGCGAAAAATACGGTAAGTAGACAGTATACAGGAAGTCGGCTTCCCAGCATAGGCTCCATTCAGAGAATGCTTTGCATTTTTAAAATGAAAGCAAAGCGTTCTCTGATTGAACAAGGTGGAGAGGTGGGACAGTGACATCACGCTCTCCAACTCGTCCAATCAGAGGACGCTTTAAATTCATTTAGTAAATACAAAGCCTTCTCTGAATGGTCCCTGTGCCAAGTGGACAGTCTCCTGTGTTGAGAATACAGGAGAGCGGCCAGTTGGTGTGGGACCCGGCAGCAAGTGGAGATCACTGGAGTCTACCTAGACTTCCAGCTTCCAGGGCATTGGCCAGGTATGGTCTGTAACCAATGTATACATAACATGTATATAAAAGAATGCAGCGCTTTACAATGACATAAGACTAATATAGCAATCAATATGAACATACAAAGATAAAATGTGCTAAAATGAGACTAGGATACAAGTGTGAATAGCATCTAGGTACAGGGGCGGACTGACAACTCATGGGGCCCCCGGGCAATAGGGGATCATGGGGCCCCTGTGTCCTTGACCAAATTCAAAAAAGCCTATGAAAAAGGTACCAGGGGCATCTCATGGGGCCCCCTACTGACCCCGGGCCCTCAGGCAGGGCCCGAGTTTCCAAATGGTCACAAGGTGAAGTAGTGACATCCTGCGTAGAAACCTAGAAATAACCAAAAAGTGCACAGTCATATATATAATAAGAGACACGCTGCGGAGCGCAACAGTAATAGTGCTATTCGCGTCTAGGTATGACGCATATGGTGCAAAAGTGGCAACAAATGTCCAATATAATAAGTTGGTGAACTTCCATGCTTCAAGTGGGTGTGGGAATGAGTATATATTGCACTAACCAGATAGCGCATTTGAGTAACAGACCATCCCTGGTCATCATCATCCTAGGGGTAACCTCAAGGATCATCTGGTATACGGTCCGCACATCAGCTGATCGTCCCACTGCTACTCTCCGGATCTCCAGGATAACTCCACTCCAAGTGTATATGTACCCAAAGTATGCACTACAGGAATCCACCTTGATTCCTGTGCAATAATATTGATTGATAGACAGCAATAGGAGCCAATGCCTGTACGGACTAGATCCGCCTCCGGGCCGACGAGCTTTTAGTAAATACAAAGCCTTCTCTGAATGGTCCTTGTGCCTAGTGGACAATCTCCTGTGTTGAGAATACATGAGAGCAGCCAGTTGGTGTGGGACCCGGCAGCAAGTGGAGATCACTGGAGTAGCAGAGTCTACCTAGACTTCCAGGGCATTGGCCAGGTATGGTATATACAGTACATAGTTACATTGGTCTGTAAGCAATGTATACATAACATACTGGTGCCCCGAAGTATTCTTAAATAGAGACTAAATGGCCAAATTATTTGTGTACACTTGAACATCGCACTCACTATATGGCTAAAACTCCTCTCCAGATGAGTTCAAGTGTGTTCAACGAAGGGCATTGTTAATCCTAGACCATACAAAGACATTTGTTCACTTCCAACCTTGTGGTGACAGTTTGGGGAAGGTCTTTTTTTCATGACTTTGACCCTGTAGCCAGACATGGTGTAATGAGTTTGGTGTGGAGGGACTAGAGTATACTGAAAAGAGCCCTAACCCCAACCCTACTGTACACCTTTGGGGTGAATTGGAACAGGTCTTCTTATCCAACATCAGTACCTGACTTCACCAATGTTGATTGAATGAGTACAAGTTTCCAGGGGCACACTTCAAAATCTTGTGGAAATCCTACCCAGAAGAGCAAAGACTGTTTATAGCTTCAAAAGGAGACCGACTTGTCATATTAATGTCCATGGTTTTTAGAATGGGATATCCAACAAGCTGATATACAGTTGTGTTCAAAGTAATAGCAGTCAGACATCACTAACCGGATCAATCACTGTTTTTGGTAGAAATGATATTTCTACATGGCAAATAATTTACTAGCAGGTGTAGTAGAGTAATAGAAATCCAACAGACCCAACAGTCATGACATGCATGCTGCTGATTCTGTGTCATTGAATCACTAATTGGAAGGGGCATGTTCAAAATAACAGCAGTGTGGAGTTCGATTAGTGAGGCCATTCATTCTTTGAAAAACAGGTGGCAATTATTGCCCTTATTTAAGGAAGGAAGGCAGCAAATGTTGTACATGCTGGTTACAGTGTATTTCTCTCTGAAATTCTGAGGAAAATGGGTCGTTCCAGTCATTGTTCAGAAGAACAGCGTACCTTGATTAAATAGTTGATTGGAGAGGGGAAAACATATAAAGAAGTGCAGAAAATGATAGGCTGCTCAGCTAAAATGATCGCAAATGCTTTAAAATGGCAACCAAAACCTGAAAGACGTGGAAGAAAGCGAAAAACTACCATTCGAATGGATAGAAGAATAGCCAAAATGGCGCGGACTCAGCCAACAATCAGCTCCAGGAAGATGAAAGAAGGTGTAAAGTTCCCTGTGAGGACTGTTACAATTAGAAGACGCCTATGTGAAGCCAAGCTATCTGCAAGAAGCCCCCGCAAAGTCCCACTGTTGGAAAAAAGACATGTGCTGAAGAGGTTACAATTTTCCAAAGAGCACAATGACTGGCCTAAAGAGAAATTTTGTGGACTGATGAAAGTAAGATTGTTCTTTTTGGGTCTAGTGGGCGGAGACAGTTTGTCAGACGACCCCCAAACACTGAATTCAAGCCACAGTACACTGTGAAGACAGTGAAGCATGGTGGTGCAAGCATCATGATATGGGGATGTTTCTCATACTACGGTGTTGGGCCTATTTATCGCATACCAGGGATCATGGATCAGTTTGAATACATCAGAATACTTGAAGAGGTCATGCTGCCTTATGCTGAAGAGGAAATGCCCTTGAAATGGGTGTTCCAACAAGACAACGACCCCAAACACACCAGTAAACGTGCAACATCTTGGTTCCAGACCAACAAGATTGACGTTATGGAGTGGCCAGCCCAATCCCCGGATCTTAATCCAATAGAAAACTTGTGGGGTGACATCAAAAATGCAGTTTCTGAGGCAAAACCAAGAAATAGAGAAGAACTGTGGAATGTCGTCCAATCATCCTGGGCTGGAATACCTGATCACAGGGGCCAGAAGTTGGGTGACTCCATGCAACACAGATGTACAGCAGTTCTCAGAAACAGTGCGACTACAACCAAATATTCATGAAGTCATTCAAAGGAAAGCAAAATCTTCAAACATTTTTCAGTTTATATAGTGAATGTTTGTTTGAGTTTGTAAAGAAGAATACAAACACTGCGATTTTTTTTTTTTTTTTTGAACCGTCTAATATTCACTTTTCTTCAATTTTTTTAGAGGACAAAACAAATTTGATCTATTTTTCTTCATGTTTTGATTTGGAATAGAATGTTTCG